CCGGGGGGGGGGGGGGGGGGGGGAGCCGTAACTGTGTGCTTTAACGGCGGTTCCTGTCCCTCACCCAGAGGGCATTTTAGAGAGGAGTGATCTAATAGTTATTAGTACGTAGTCCAGAGAAATATATATTTAGTTCGGATGTTTACTATTGCCCACGTTGTTGTTGAACATACGAATGCACATCAGATGAAGGAAACTTTGCCTAGTAAGATGCTTCTATGCAAGCTACGGTTGGAAAGAGGAAAATCTAATATTTCTCTCCTTCATTTTATACAAACTGGGTGCCTGATATTTGCCAGACACAGCTCTAGGTGCTAGAGAGACAGTAGGGGTAGATACTGTTTCTGCTTTTCTGGAAACTGGTAAAATTAGGAAACCGATTGAGTTGCTTGTTTTTCTGTTCGTCAACGCTGTAAAATTTCAAGGTTCCAATTTCACTATAAATGGCCGTGCTTAATTTGTTCATTCTTAACAATTGATTTCAACTTTAAGTACGTATAATCTTAGGATCTCTGGAAAACAAAAGCTATTTGGTAAAGGTAAATTAGAGCCATTTGAAACGCTAGTCTCTTCCTCTAAGCTCTCTTGTTTGGGGCTGGTGGGAGCCCTGGCAGAATTGACATAAAATGCATTTATTGTGAAGTGTTTTTGGGATCCTAAGGAAAGTTCCCTTCCGTTTAGTGATCTCAATAACTGTCCTTCAGCCACGTTAGGTCTGTGTTAGGCTTGTTATTCTTTTGGTCTTGAGTTACGTTAGCTGAAATTAAGTCAAGGTAATTTACGCTTACAGCTGCAGATAAAGTATTGTGCTATGAATTGCTTAAAGCCCTTCCATTCAGGCGGTATTTAACTTTTCCAGACCAATAGACGATCATTTTTTCTTAGGTAAATGAAAATACTAATGATCCACAGATACTTTTTATATCTTTTGCCACCATTTAGTACATTCAAGCTAAAAGTCTGTAGACTAGCGCTTATACCTGAAGAGAACAGCTCTATGTGCATTGCTCCCACGTGTTTGGTGAGTGGGGTGTTTGTTTCTTCATGTTAAATGTAGGCTAGTTGCTTTTCAGTAAAACTGCGTAACTCTTACTAACATACTTATTTCTGACTGAGCTGAGAAGAGTTCAGAAGCATCTCATGCTTTAGTCCCTGTAGAAATTGTTTTAATGCTATTGAAGATCTGAATTTTAGCTAATATTTTTATATAAGAATTTAGAGCATTATTTTTCCCACATTTTTGTATAATATAAATAGTATGGGCTTTTAATGCTATTACAGTATGAAGAACTTCTCTTTAGCATTGAAAAATGAATAAATCAGTGATTATTTTAAACCTCAAGTTGCATTTTGGTCCTAGGTTTTAGAGTGGCTTGTTCTCTCCTGAACCATGGGCCCTGGTGAGCCAAACGTTTCTCTTCTTTGCCTTAGATCGTGGAGTGCGTCGGACCCTTTCTGTACCAACGACAGGAGCATCCTGACCCTCTCCACAATGGACTCCTCCACTTGTTAGAGGGGCGCTCGCACTCTGGGGCCCTCTCGCCTCCCTTCCCGCAGTGCAGCGTGATCACCCTCTTTCTGCACGCTAGCTCAGATTGCTCTCGGAGCCCCGGAGTAGGGCATCGGGGGACACAGTGACAGACAAACAGAAGCGCTCACACCAGCCTCTCTCACCCCTTCATTTGAATCAGAACGTGTTGAAATTTGAGGATCAGGGGTCATTTTGCATCTTTTGGTCTGGATTGTCCCTTTTGCTCACGGGACTCCAAGGGGCGTTTCAGCGGACGGCTGAGGCCACGAGGGGGCAGTGCATCCCGAGGCAGAAGAAGAGGGAGCGCTTAGTTACGTTTACTTCTTAGTTTTAGCTTGGTTAGTGAGTTGTCTATTTAAATCTGCTTCTGTAAATTATGCTGAAAGTTTGCCTTGAGAACTCTATTTTTTTATTAGAGTTATATTTAAAGCTTTTCATGGGAAAAGATAATGTGAATAGTAGGAATTTTGGTCCCTCAGTGACCCGTGTTAATTCCTTACTGCTCTCTGGGCTCACAGAGCAAACTAGGTGAAGCGTTTCCAGCCATCACCTCCTGCGGTGTGGGTAGTCCGTTTGCAGCAGCACATTCCTCTGTATGGATTACAGCACAGTCAATAAAGCTCACCATCGCAATGCGGAGGAGACAGCGGATCTCACGTATAAATTGGGAGTCGGGTCCGTTCACCGGATTTCAGATCGTTGTTTCCTAATATTTTTGTGACACAATGCGACGAATCGATAGTGGGCAAATTAGATGCCATTAGCATATTATTAATTTACTGTTTATCATTGGCTCTTTTGCATGCTTTAATCTGATTAATCTATTTAAATTTCCTTTTCTTTAACTGAAGGCTTTGTTTATAGTATTTTATGACAATGTTGTAAATTCAACTATATCAATAAAAAACAAGTTTGGACAGTATTTAAATATTGCAAATACTTTTACTTACACAGATCAAAATATTATGGATAATCAAAACAATAAAAGAGAGAGCCTCTCTCTCTTTCTGTGACCAACTTAGAATTGCTCTTGTCTTTTTGTAAGCTCGTACTTTAGCATAAAGGGTTTCAGGTAAGATCTTGTTATTTTAGATTAGCGTATGTTACCTAGTTAGCAGCAGACCACCACAGTCAAGTGAAACCTGCCCAGTGTCCCATTATAAGGTATGTGGTCAGGCATGACTGTGGAATGTAAATGAAACAAAGTCTAAAGTGCTAAATTTGTATCAGGCAATGGCAGCAACAAATTAAAATGCTAAGAATGTTTAAGCAAACACATATTACTGTAACACATTTCACTTCAAAACTTAATTTCTGTCCCAAATTGATTATGTAGATTCAGTACATCATTTCCTATGTTAAAAATAACATTGTTAGGGCTAGCAGGTGGTGTGGAGGTTAAGGCACTAGATCCCACATGGCCAGCTGTGTTCGAACCCCAGACCAGCAGCTTAAGAATCACACTGGGCGTGTGTGTGTGTGTGTGTGTGTGTGTGTGTGTGTCCAAAATCCCAAGAAGAGACTGGAGGAGAGTGGACTGGGGTGTAGCCATCCCCAATGGGGGGTGATTTCTCACTTCCCCGCTTTCTCTCTGTCTCTGTCTGGTGAGCACGTGTCCTACAGCAAAAACTAAAAACAATAAAAGTATTATTTTAGGTTAGAAATTAGGAGCTGTTCTCCAGTTCCAAGCATATAATGACTATACATACAGATTTTAAATTGTATGAAATGATTAAATGAGATTTTGCCCTTAGGCATATGAGAGGAACAGGTCAGGGACCAGCCAGCGACGGCGCGAGGTTCGGAGCAGCTGGGTCCCACCGACTGACTTTGCTGTTCTAGTCCGACACAGTGGCTTGGGAAACACCACGTGTGTGTGCACACCCAGGATCCTGGGAGGAGAATGGAGAGGAAGGGATTGTGGTGTGGCCATTCCCTGTGGGAAGTCATTTCTCAGTCTCCGTCTCTCTGGCAAGTGCACATGCCCTATAACAAAATTTTTAAAAAGTGAGACTTCCAACAGTTTGTGGAGAAATGAAATTAAAGTGCAAGTGTAGGTAGGTGCAGAAACATTTTTGGGAACTCATGCATAGTTTTTTGGTCATATACATTTTCCACGAACTTTTCAAAGTCCTTTTGTGTAATAATTTGTAGAGATTGTATACCTTCCCCTTTTTTCCCATGTCATGAATATGAAATTTCTGGGATTGGATAGGTAGGAAAAAGAATAGTAAAGATAAGATTTTACCTTTGTTCACTGGGAAACTGTTTCCTTACTAACAGAACATTTGTCTTTTTAGTAACATGAGAACATTAGGTTATTATTTTTTTTTGAGGGGGAGAAGTTTTTGCTATAGGGCGCGTGCGCTCGCCAGACAGATACAGAAAGACAGAAAGTGAGAAATCACCCCCCAGGGAGGGTGGTCACACCGCAATCCCTTCTCCTCCATTCTCCTCTCAGGATCTTGGGCACGCACGCACACGCACCCGGCTTGAGTTTAAAGCCACCGGGTCCGGGATTCGAACCGCGGTCTACTATGTGGGAGTCCAGCGGCATAGCCATTACGCCAACTGCTGGTCCCAGGACATTAGGTTATTAACATGAGGCTACGTATTAATGTTCACAAACAGCCTTTCTTCAACTTGGATTTCCCGGAGTTTGATTTAGGAAGATAGGTTATTCCAGAAATCCGTTGAAGGGTGTACGGTACGTTTCATGTTCAGAGGAGGAACTGCGGCGATCTCCCGTAGGTTAGCTTACTGGAGGGTAATAGGGATGTGCTCTCTCTCAGGATGTCATAGAAGATGGACATACGACATGGTGCCTGTCAGTCGCCTGCATTACATCCGCTCAGTGTGTACCCAGGCACACCAGCTCAGACTGCCGGCCCTCGCTGGGAAGGCCGAGGTGGCCAGGCCGGCGCAGGTGCTGACGGCGTCCCGAGCTCAGCCTTGGAAGTTAGTGACCAAGAACTCTGTGTCCAAGTCAAAGTGAGCGGTCCCCACTCATGCTCACCCTACTTGGTTTTCAAAGGGAGATTGCAATGTATTTCAAGAAAAAAGTTTTCTTCTATTTAAGAAAGTGACAATGCGGTCTGCCACCTTTTGGCCATTTTCTAGTGCTCGCGTTTATATTTTAAAACTGCTGCTGCATGGCCTGTAATCAGACGCTTCCCCTGTATGTGTTTCTTTAAAATTCTTTGGCAAGTGTGATGTGGATAATGAAATTACTTGTATTAGCCAGAACCAGAGATTGTGAACACATCCTTCCGGTTACTGGACGTTGTCCGGCCTGTTGGCCTCAGCTCACGCTCCCACGCTGGCCTGTGCCCAGGCTGAGGGTTAGGCCTGCAGGTAGCGGCCTCCACGTGGCTACCAAATCGCGCATCCCCTGCCTGGACCGAGCACCCTCGCCAGCTCTAGAGCCTTGGGAGGTGGCGCGTGTGGCCCAGGGAGATTGTAGTCACCCAGGCTCGCTTGCACAGGGCAGAGGCGGGGTAGAGTTGATAGCCAGAACTGCCCTAACTGCCTTCGTCCAGCCCTGACCTGTCCTGAGTGGGACCCCTGCAGAGCCCCATGTGGGGCAGTGCCTGCACTGAGCCTTAACTTTAGGGCCAGGACCGGGTCGTTTCTGCTGCAGAGGATTGTGACAGGGGAACTGCTCTGCTAAGTCTGAGACTTCTCATAGACCGAGTCATGGCCACTCAGTGGACAGTTAAGAGCCAAAAGTGTTGAAAATGTGCCGGTCTGGGAATCTGAGGCTTGCAGGGGGCCCTTCCGTGCTTGTGGGTTTCTTGTAACGGTCAATGTGTGATAGAATATAGGCAGGTATTACTAAAACTAACACACCAAAGGGTTCTTTTCAAATGTTTGATTAATTTCGGTCCCCCCATAAACACTTTTATTTCTATCTTGAAATCAGTCATCTATTTTCATAAAAATAAAACATCACTGAAGTGTTATTTTATGTTAAATAACTTGAGTGCTGTTCCTACAGAAAGCAGGTGGTGACTGGTGTGTCAGTAATCGTTAGATTGCTGCGCGCCACGGGGAGCTAGCTGGGAGACCGTGCCAATACTTCTTTACGTTTTGGACCTCAGAAACTGGCTGTCTAATGTAATCCCTGAAAATTCCTCCTCATTGTCAGGAAATGTAGTATGCTTATTGTTCAGCTCTCAGTAATTATTTTACAGTTTATGAAATTATATTTATCAAATAAATATTTTCCTATGTAATTAAAAGCGTTTCTCCATTATTTAAGCATTTGAAGCCTCTGCTCATCATAGCCAGCTGCCAGACCTTGTTTTGAGTTACATTTTACGACATTTTTCCCTCCATTTTACTACAAGAATATAATTGATGTCTTTTACTGACTGCACATTTTAAAAATACAGAATCTCTTTTATTATCAAGACTTTATAGATCGGAATACCGCTCCTTAAAAAAGTGATAAAAATGCATCAACTCTAAAGGCCAACTTTAACTAGAAATTGCATCATTCATGAAAAGCCAACCAAGATCATTTGTAAGTTTGGATGCCCAGGTTCATATAAAACATGTGCTTTTTAAAAAATATGACTATATCGGGACCAGCAGTTAGCGTAATGGCTATGTCGCTGGACTCCCATGTAGTCGACCACGGTTCGCATCCCGCACCTGGTGGCTTAAACTCACACCGGGCACGTGTGCATGCATGCCAAGATCCCGAGAGGAGAATGGAGGAGAAGGGATTGTGGCGTGGCCATCCCCCCCGGGGATGCTTAAATAAACAAGACTTGCGGGACCAGCAGTTGGCGTAACGGCTACTGGACTCCCATGTAGTTGACCGCAGTTCGAGTCCCGGACCCGGTGACTTAAACACGCCAGGTGCGTGTGCGTGTGTGCCCAAGATCCCGAGAGGAGAATGGAGGAGAAGGGATTGCAGCGTGACCATCTCCCTGGGGAGTGATTTCTCGCTTTCTGTCTCTCTGTCTCCCTCTGTCTTTCTGGCACCCGCCCTATGACCTAGTAGCCCACAGACGGAATCACAGCCCCAGACGGGCTCGGAAACCGTGCTGCAGACATGTGCATGCGCGGCTCCAAATCCTGCCAGGATGGGGAATAGCAGAAATGGTTTCAGTATGACCACAGCCCTCTGGGGGTACTCTCATGGCATGCTCTCTCTGGTACACCCACCCATTGGCAATAAGTAATTTTGTTCTTAATTTTTAAATTTAACTTTATTTATTTTTAATTCAACCATAGAGGAAAAGGGAGAGAGCGAAAGGGAAACAGAAAGCAAGCCACCAGGTCCAGGACTGGAACTGCAGTTTCTCAGTGAGAATCCAGCGTCCTTCACCACCCCATCACCTGTTGGCCGGCAATAAGTCACTAAAAGGAGTTGGTGCTTGTGTCATCTTTAAGATGACTTCTGTCTCTGACTGTTTTTTGTTTTTTGGCTTTTTTTGCTATAGGGCCTGTGCTCTCACCAGAAAGAGAGACAGAGAGACAGAAAGCAAGAAATCACCGCCCCCCCCCCCAACGGGGGGGAATGGGAAGGCCCCAATCCCTTCTCCATTCTCCTCTCAGGGCCTTGGGCATGCACACACGCCCGGCATGAGTTTAAGCCAGCAGGTCCAGGACTCGAACCGCAGTCACGTTCATGGGAGTTTTCTTAGCTGGGAGAGGACACGTGCTCACCAGAGGGAGGGCGGAGGTGGGCTGGGAACTGGGCCCAGGCTCCCCACGGCGGCATCATGCTGCCAAGCCCATGCTACCTGGCAGGCCTGGACCAGGTCTCATCCGGAAATTCCGGATGGGCCTGCCATGGCCTGGCGGTCATGGTAGCGGGATCCTACATGGCTGACTACACGATTGGAGCTGTCAGATGGTCGTGTGTGCCTGCCTGGGGCCCCCAGGGTAGGGTTGGAAGGACAGGCTGTA